CCAGGCGCAGTGGCTCACACCTGTAATCCCAGCACTTTGGGAGGCCAAGGTGGGTGGATCACTTGAGGTCAGGAGTTCAAGACCAGCCTGACCAACATGGTGAAACCCCTCTCTACTAAAAATAAAAAATTAGCCGGGTGTCATGGCGGGCACCTGTAATCTCAGCTGCTGGGGAGGCTTAGGCATGAGAATCACTTGAATCTGGGAGGCAGAGGTTGCAGTGAGCCGAGATTGTGCCGCTGCACTCCAGCCTGAGCAACAGAGTGAGACCCTGTATAAAAAAAAAAAAAAAAAAAGAATCATACTTTCCTCAAAGCCGGGTCTGACAGCATCCACCTGTAGTCCCAGCTACTTGGGAATCTGAGGTAAAAGGATTGCTTGAGCCTAGGAGTTTGAGGCCAGCCTGGGCAATATAAAATGATCTCATCTCTAAAAAAAAAAAAAAATCATGTTTTTTCCAGATTTTCAATATAAATTAGATGGTAAAAATCTAAGATTGTAGTATGTGTGATGAAATTGGATAGGGCTTATGGTTTTAATTCATTTCATGTTTCATGTGTAATGATAGAATTAATTGTAGTAGTAATACAAGGAGCAAAATGTGTATTTTGGAAACATCACAAAGGTACATGAAACAGCTGAAGAATAATTATAAGGTTGTTTATTAACAAGTGAGAGATTATAGTGCTTAAACCATAGAAGTCAGCTCTTACAGGCAATTCCAAGTAAGAGAAGACAGTTATATAGGGAGAACTTCAGAGAGGAGGCCATTCTTACCTCCTTGAAGCCAGTGTCAGGATTGGATTGCTGAGGGAGAAATAGGGCTTTCTAGGCAGTAGGTAGTTTGCTCAAGTTCTCCTGGTGGAAATTAGCATTGAGTAGCAGACTGGCCTGACAGGAGTAGCTTTTTATTTAAGGAAGACCTGGGGATGTACTGGGAAAATTATGGAGAAAGCCAGAATGACACGAACCACCTGAAAACCTTTACACAGGACAGATCCCTAGTATGGGAAACAGACCAGAGGGGAGCTAGTCTCATGGAGCTGGGGGAGGGGCTGGGCCCAGAGCTCCGCCTCTCCAACCCCCACCCACTTGGCCCCTGTGGTCATCTCCAGATACCTCCAAGGAAAATGAAGGCTCCCCTAGGCTTCTGTAAAAACCACTTTTGCCCTCTTTCCCACAGTGTAGTCTTCAAAACATATTTGTCAATAGATGGCACAAAAATTCTCAAATTTTTAGTTGTTTCCTCTTGTACTGTTTGTTTTTTTGAGACAGAGTCTCACTCTGTTTCCCAGGTTGGAATGCAGTGGCGTGATCTCGGTTCACTGCAACTCCCCCTCCCGGGTTCAAGGGATTCTCATGCCTCAGCCTCCCAAGTAGCTGGGACTACAGGCATGTGCCACCACCCCTGGATAATTTTTGTATTTTCAGTAGAGACAGGGTATAACCATGTTGGCCAGGTTGGTCTCAAACTCCTGACCTCAGGTAATCTGCCAGCCTTGGCCTCCCAAAGTGTTGGGATTGAAAGCCCTCTTATACTATTTGTATAAGACATTCAAATTCAAATTCAAAAAGGATCTTATTAAAATGAAAAAAAATATATATCACTAATAAAATGTTAGCAAGCTCCAGCAGATTTTCAGCCTGCTTGCTTTAAGCTTCATTTCATAGAATAAAATTCTCCAACCATCAAATGATAAAGAAAACATTTGAGTTGGTGTATTAGTTCATCCTCACATTGCTATAAAGAACTACCTGAGGCTGGGTGATTGTTAAAGAAAAGAGGTTTAATTGGCCCACGGTTCCACAGCCTGCACAGGAAGCATGGCTGGGGAGGCCTCAGGAAACTTCCAATCATGGCAAAAGGTAAAGAGGAAGCAGGCACGTCCTACATGGCTAGAGCAGGAGGAAGAGAGAGGGTGAGGTGTCACACACTTTCAAACAACCAGATCTCATGAGAACTCACTGTCACAAGAACAGCAAGGGGGAAGTCCACTCCCATTATCCAGTCACCTCCCACCAGGTCCCTGCTCCAGCGCTGGGGATTACAATTTGGCATGAGATTTGGTTGAAATCACAAATCCAAACCATATCAGTTGGTTACAGATAAATAAATAAATAAATTGAATCTCTATATTCCCAAGTGTGAAAGGTAATTCATATTCTTGGAGAACTGTTCCTGGAAAATTTTTTCACTAAGCAAAAGCTGGTCTTTCTTAGCAGGGTTTAAAGAGAACCAAAACTAACTACTGCATTTCTTTGTCTGCTTTGTTTGCATCAATATCATTGATTTAGACAGCAGGGCAATGGGGACTTTCTGCTTCCCTCACCTTCCAGGGGAAAGATCAAAATCGAATTTGCTCATCCAGTACTGTACCTGACATTGCATAAGTCGAGTGAGCTCTGTAAGGGCAGAATTCAGTGGTGGTTACAACTTAGCTTGATGTTTGATTTGGCTCCATGATAGGAAGCAGAAGCATGTGACTGCAGCCTGAGGAGCAGCCACCTAGGAAAGTGCTGTATTCGTTTCCTAGGGCTGCTATAACAGAGGACCACAAACTGGGTAGTGGACACAGTAGAAATCTATTGTCTCACAGTTCTGGAAGCTGGTAGCCTGAGACCAAGATGTCAACAGGGTTGCTTCTTTCTGAGCCTGTGAGGGACAATCTGTTCCATGCTTGTCTCCTAGCTTCTGGTAATTTTCTGGCAGTCTTCGGCACTCTTTGGCTTATAGAAACATCGCTGGATCTCTACCTTTGTCATCACATGTGTTCTCCCTGTAAGCATGTCTATGTCCAATGTCCCTTTTTAACAAGGATGCCAGTCATATTGGATTAGGGGTCCATCCTACCACAGTACAACCTCATCTTGACTAATTACATCTGCAAGAACCCTATTTCCATATGAGGTCAGATTCTGAGGTAGAGGAGGTTGGGACTACAGCACATGAATTTGGGGGTGGAAGGGTAGAGACATAATTCAACTCTTAATAAGTGCTCAGCACAATATTGCATCCCACTCCATCTCGTTCCACCAGAATGGAGCATGGCTGACCCAAGGCCAGAATAGGACTGGCACTATGGAGTTCACCCTGGCCACCTGCCCTCAGCTCCTCTGAGATTGCAGAGCCCCAGCAGCCCATCCTAGAGCGACTTGCCCACCAAGCACTGATTGGATGACTGATAAATCTGATAATTTCTCTGAATATACACCAACGAACCTCCTTCAACTCCCGCTGTGCTGGGGGCAAAGTTAGGCATGCCCATGCTAAGTAGGGTGAGTCTCACCAGCCTCCTGGAGCCCCACCTGTAGTTTTCTTAGTGTTTGATAAGTGCTGACAGCCTCGATCATGTCTTCCTTTGCAGGCTGGATTTAAAGGGAAGCTTGGAAGCAAGTTCAGTTGGAGAGGTTAAATGATATAAGCAAATAATCACTTGTGTCTGAGCTGCTTGTAGTTAATTTCTCATTTCTTCATTCTCTTATTGATAATATTTATATTTAAATAAAGGTTTCTCCTTTACAGCCTGATTTTTTTCCATCTGCTTGATTCCTGCAGTGAAGTCCTAACCCCGTATTTGTTTGTTTTCTCACAGCTTGTTGCCATGGGAATGGTTATAAGGTAGCAAATTTCAACACTAGCTTTTCAAAGTACCCTGAAAGAGAAAAGAAAATGGGAAGGATAGAAATGTTTTCTTAGCTGAACACACATCTCTGATTATTGTCAAAAACACAGTGGAAGAAAAGCTGAGAGTAGCACGGGATGCATTCATGCTTAAGTATATGTCAAATGGCTCCCCAAGGCATGCCTCCTCTTACCTAAGGAATAATGTGCATTAGGAAACCAGGAACTGGCCGTTCAGAAGGATGATCCAGCCACAGTGATTCAGAAATGAAAGGATGCTTTGTGCTGAGGAAATATGGTGCTCCAGGGGCCCTGCTGAGAGGCTGAGATGGTTCTAGAGGTGGTTGACTCAGTTCCTGGATCCCCTCGGCCCACTTGAAGACATGTCTGACATCCTGGGAAAGTGTCCTAAGCTATAGCCTTGACTCGGCTCTCTTGAGGGAGATGAGGTGCTGACCTGCCTAGCAGTCTGGTGATAGTTTCTTTTTTTTCCTCAATAGAGGCAGGGAACCATCACAAAGAGACAAGGAGAGAAAGGTCTAGGTTTTTACATTTTTCATGAGAAAAAAAAAAAAACTGTTGTGCAATAATTAAATAGCCCACCCTCAAGTCACATATTGTTTAGAGGACACGGGACTACAGCATCCTGGACAGACCTCTAGACATCCCAGTATTTGAAGAGAAATTGCCATGGGGCTTCAATTTCATCCAGGAAATAAGATGCCTTAGTTAGTGCAATTGGTCTTTGACTACATATATATGCGTATGGTTTCTAAAGTAAAAGCATCAGTTTTCTTTTGTAATGTAATTTTTTTTGTTGTCTTTTAGATAAAAATATATACTCTGGAAGAGCATGATGTTTTATCTGTTTGGGTTGAAAAGCACGTGGGAAGTCCAGCACATTTGGCTTATCGTCTCTTGTCTGACTTTACAAAGCGACCTTTGTGGGACCCCCATTGTGTGTAAGAACAAACTTAAAAATTTTTCTCAATCAACCTTGACATCATGTAAAAGATGATCTCCATATTGCAGTCCATCTCCACTGTCCAATGTGTGACCCATTGTTTAAAGAGTATTTTTAAAAGTTTGGCCGGGCATAGCACTTTGTGAGGCTGAGGCAGGTGGATAGTTGAGCCCAGGAGTTCAAGACCAGCCTGGACAACATGGTGAAAGCCTCTCTATAAAATACACAAAAATTAACTGGACATGGTGGTGCATGCTTGTAGTCCTAGCTACTTGGGAGGCCCAGGTGGGAGGATTGCATGAGTCTGGGAGGTCAAAGCTGCAGTGAGCCAAGATCACACGACTGCACTCTAGCCTGGGCAACACAGGAGACCCTGTCAAAAATTAAAATAAAAATAAAGTTTGCTGTGGACAGAATACTGCATCAGGTGATATTGAGAGACACAAAACAAAAATTATACTCACTTATCACCTATATTGAGTTGACCTGCTTTACCCACATCTATTGTAATTCTACCAGTAACTTCAAGGTCGATATTATTTCCATTTAAGAGGTTCTGAGACTTGCCAAGATTGCACAGACAATAAAGTGATGGAACCCAAATTGGAACCCAAGTCTGTCATGCTCTGAATTTTACACTCTTCTACTTTAATATGCAACCTCATTGCTCTTGAGGAAGTGATTATCCACTTGTCCTGCCTACTCTCAACATTTCATTGGCGGTTCCTTACTTCTCTGTGAAGCAACCCTCCCTGGTGAGAAGCTAAGACAGCAAGCTATGCGAGCCCCAAGGTGAAAGGCATGCCTTCCTGCTCCCCCTCCTGATGATGTCCCTGCTCGTATTAGCCTACATCTCCTACTCCTGCTACTCCCTGTCTCCTGCATCCCTAATTCCAATCTCCTCCACTCCCCGGCCCTTTCCTGGAACACAGTACAGAGCTGTGCACCCTGCCAACTGCACTGATGGGGACCAGCTGCACTGAGGCCCAGCCACCTTGGCTATAGCACCCCACAGGGCTTCATGGCCACCTTGTTGACATGGAAGGGTTGGTGAGATGGGCTTCCTATTATGTTAAGCGTTTCCTAATCTTGACAAGATAGAGGCTCATCTTTAAATTTTCTAAAACTCACTGTGATAGAGATTTAGAAATACCATGTAATAGATGATTTAATACCACTAAAGTGAAACATCTCTAAGGTCATGTGTTACATTTGCACAGATGCTAGAGTTTAAATGGGAGGAGTTCCCTTATCCTCCTGGTAGGGCCTGCGAGAGGGGTGTGGCTTGTTTCTTCGTGCTGCTCAAACCCCTAGAGGGATCATGCAGGTGCTTAAGTCGTGGGGAGCGTTTTTTGGGCTCCAACCCCATGGCAGCATCTAGGGTTGAGTGTTTATGGCTCCGGAAGCCCCAGTGGGTGTGTGTTGTGATGTGGTCTTTCAGTTTTGCTGTCTGGAGACAGCTTGTGTTAATCAGCTCAGTTAGACCCTCTGCCTTATCGCAAGGACAGAGGGCTTTCTGTATCCTGGATTCTTGCCTTAGTGTACTGGGAAAAACGGCTCACACGTGGCCTTGGAGGATGGGTGCAAGGTTTTGAGTGGTGGAAGCTGCTCTTAGCGAGATGGATGGGAAGCCAGAAGGAGGATGGAGTTGGAAGGTGGTCTTCTTCTGGAGTCAGGCTGCCCAGCCACCAGACTCTCCTCTGACCACCCCTGACCGAATTCTATGTCTTTCCACCATCGATGGCCTGCCAGCGTCTGCTGGTGTCTGGCGGTGTGCTCTTCTGTTCCTTTCAACATCCAGCCCGCTAGGGTCTCGGGTTTTTTATGGACACAGGATGTGGGGTGTGGTGGGCCAAAAGGTAACTTTTGGGGTGTGAAAACAGAAATGCCTGTCCTCATTTAGGTCCGTGGGCACAGGCCCGAGGGTGGAGCCCTCACCAGTGACCCTTCCCTTCTCTATCCAACACTTCCCTGCCCACCTCCCATATCAGAATGATATGTCATGGTTAATGCTATCACAATAAATCACTCTGAGAGAAGAGGAACACTTCTCAATTTTCTTGCATCAGTTTAGTAGATACTCTACCAGTACAAAGCTTTTAGTAATAACAATGCCTAAACTTTGGTGTTAATGCTTTAAAAATGTTTCTCCCACTATTCTCTGTCACTTGACATTCCGGCCAAATTGAAGTTGAACAAATAGGGGAATGAATGAATGAATTCTTATTAAACTAACTTTTCTCCTACATCTACTATGATTCAGGTACTATGCCACGTGTTTTCACTGAATCCTTGCAGTAACCCCACGTATCATTATCTAAATTTTATAGATGAAAAAATAAAATGACTTGCCTAACGCAACTTATGTAGCGAGTAAGTGGCAATCTGGGAGTCAAAAGAGAGTTGTGTGACTCCAAAGCTAGTGCTGTTTCCAATATGCCACATTTCTTTATCTATATAAACAATCCTTCTTGGACTGACTATATGATTTACGAGTCCTCACAATGTTTTTCCTTGATCCTAGAGAAAAATAATTTTGTGTAAAACAGCTCAATGCCTTTCACTGAAGTATCGAGAATTATGAACTTGAAGTCAGATGGCCACCATCCTCTATCACTTGCAGAATTATTCCTTCTGATCAAAGAGCTCTTGTGTTTTTTGTTTGTTTGTTGTGGCTTTTTTTTTTTTTTTTTTTTTTGAGATAGGATCTCATTGTGTCACCCAAGCTGGAGTGCAGTGGCACAATCATGGATCACTGCAACCTCAACCACTCAGGCTCAAGTGATATTCCCACCTCAACCCCTCGAGTAGCTGGGACTACAGGCATGCACCACCACACCCAGCTAATTTTTAAAAAATTTTTTTGTAAAGATAAGATTTTGCAAGTTTGCCCAGGCTGGTCCTGAACTCCTGGCCTCAAGTGATCCTCCCACCTCGACCTCCCAAGGTGTTAGGATTACAGGCATGAGCCACTGTGCCCAGCCTCAAAGAGCTCTTCTAAGGACAGACTTGAGCAATAATGCTGGCTTTTCGGGGGATGATTAGGTGAGCTGAAGGGGCAAATAAGGATACCAATAATGAGATTATATAAGCAAATAAAGGAAGTGAATGCCTTACCAGGTAGAAAGTGTAGCTGCTTTTCACTGTTCTATATACACAGGTCCTGTGAAGTCATAGACTGGGTGAGTGAAGATGATCAGCTGTGTCACATCACCTGTCCTGTGCTGAATGATGACAAACCCAAAGACTTGGTAGTACTCATATCACGAAGAAAACCTCTCAAGGATGGGTGAGTATATGCAGTTCATGTGTTCTATCACTATTTCATAGTATAGGATAGAAATTAAAAGTTGATGTGAAAGCCTGTAATCCCAGCACTTTGGGAGGCTGAGGCGGGCGGATCACGAGGTCAGGAGATTGAGACCATCCTGGCTAACACAGTGAAACCCCATCTCTACTAAAAATACAAAAAATTAGCTGGGCATGGTGATGGGTGCCTGTAGTCCCAGCTACTTGGGAGGCTGAGGCAGGAGAATGGCGTGAACCCGGGAGGTGGAGCTTGCAGTGAGCCGAGATGGTGCCACTGCACTCCAGCCTGGGCGATAGAGCTAGACTCCGTCTCAAAAAAAAAAAAAAAAGTTGATGTGAAAATAAGTAAGTCTGTGTAGATATTTCTGCTCTTGAATTATGTTCATTTGAATTATACCTAGATGAATCTTTAGCTCTTATTGTAAAAATTAACTGTCATCTATTAAGTGCCAGCTATTTGCAAAGTACAATGCAAGAATCCTAAAGTAGTTCCTTTTCCTATGTAGATGTAAAACTGGTATTCAGTAAACCTTTGAAACATCCCATGATTAGTAAAAATGCAGTGAAAGCCAAATAAGACACCGGGAATTGGTTTAGAATTCAGCAAGGCTTGACTGTGCTAGACATCCACCATGGCTGGCTGTCAGCCGGCCTGTCGATCAGAGGACCCAGACATGGTTTTTCCATGTACACTGAACTGCTCAAAGCATGGCAGCTAGCTTCTGAGAGGAAGTGTCCCAAATAATCCCACACACATGTGAGTATTAACAGATGTTCAGTGTCATATCATTTATTATGTCAAAAGATATTAGAAACAAATGGAAAATCCATCTTATAAATTATGGTAGATCCATACTACAAAGTATTGTACCATCATTAAAAAGGATGAAGCAGCTATAATGGGACTGATAGAGAAACACCTCCAAAGATTTATTGCTAGATGAAAAATCAAATTGTAGTCGATATTTGTAAAATGATATTTATGTAAAAATTTTGTGTGCATTTGCTTATATAAATGTCATTCTTATACATTTATTTTTATACAATAAAATATTAAGAGTGGTCACTTCTAGGGTGGAGTATAGCATGGGAGTGCAATTGGACTGGAGGAAGATTTTTATTTTGTAGCCTACAGGGTTCTCTATTATTGAGAGTTTTTCTTTTAACAACGATGGGTATTGTTTTTATTATTATTATTATTATTATTTTAGATGGTGTTTTGCTCTTGTTGCCCAGGCTGGAGTGCAATGGCACAATCTCAGCTCACTGCAACCTCTGTCTCCCGGGTTCAAACGATTCTCCTGCCTCAGCCTCCCAAGTAGCTGGGATTACAGGCATGCGCCACCATGCTCAGCTAATTTTATATTTTTAGTAGAGATGGGATTTCTCCATGTTGGTCAGGCTGGTCTCGAACTCCCAACCTCAGGTAATCTGCCGGCCTCAGCCTCCCAAAGTGCTGGGATTACAGGCATGAGCCACTGCGCCCGGCCTGTTTTTTAATTTAAAAAGGAAAAGAGGCTGAAATTACAACCCTGTAGGGCACAATAAAACTGCAGCTGGTGGTTGACTCCAGCTTCATGGAGTTACACAAAGCATTGTATATGCAATTCTAAGGCAGAAAACACTATTTCCTACCTTGAATGTAGCCTAGAGAGTGTTTTCTGATGAGACCACTCATCTAGAAGATCTGGGCCTTCATAGTTTCACTTCTACCTGTATAAATAAGTTGGGTTAACTATAGGGATTTATTTTCTAACAACTATTCTTTATTTCTCACAAGAGCTTAGAAAATGTCTTCTTTCAGTAACACTTACACAGTGGCAGTGAAGTCGGTCATTTTGCCGTCGGTGCCCCCGTCTCCACAGTACATCAGAAGTGAAATCATATGTGCCGGATTTCTCATCCATGCTATTGACAGCAGCTCATGCATTGTAAGTTTGATGAAACATCTGTGATTAATTGGCTCTGCCAGATAGAGAAAAATCTCTTAATTTACCCAATGTCCTAATTAATTGTAATCTTGTAATTTGTGTCCACACTATGGGAATCCTAAGGTCATCCTTTCAGATCATCTATTCCAGATGGTACCCCAGAAGATTAGGGTCTTAGTCTCCCCTACACCAGCAAGACTCAGATCCTTGCTTGAAAAAGCTCCAAGTCAATAAGAAATTAAAATATTGTACTTTCTCTTTGAAACAGGTATCTTACTTTAACCATATTTCTGCTAGCATCCTTCCTTACTTTGCTGGAAATCTTGGTGGCTGGTCGAAATCCATTGAAGAAACAGCAGCCTCTTGTATACAGTTCTTAGAGAATCCTCCTGATGATGGGTTTATAAGCACATTTTAAATGGTCAACTTTCAATTACCGGTAATTTAATTTCCCACTTTTAATTCCAGACACCCTTAGCCCTGACATTTGTCAAGCTTTTGGGCCACAAAATAATTAATATAAGCCTAAGCAAAATGCAGTGGAAAAGTTAAAAAATAAAATGCATCTTAAGTCAAATACCAGTGATTTGGATTAGCATTAAAAGAGCTTTAAAATTCTGTTTTAAGTCATCTGTGGCTCTGCCTCTTCCAGGGGCACAGATAGTGGAAAATTGCCTGTATGCAATACTATGTGTTCTATAAAATGGCATGAATTTAGTTTAAATTATCATAAACATTTTTAGGTTACAGAGTGAAACGTGTGTTCTGTGTGAAATTCCAAAAAAAAAATTATAAAATCTAAAATGATGATTTGCTAAGTTGACTCGTTGATTAATGTATGGCATTCTTCCTTGTGCAGCAGGTATCTGTATGTCAGGAGCGTTTGACAAGATGTATTACATAGTCTAGAGATTTAAATTGGGGAGACATTAAAACGTAATGGAATCCAATCAATTTTACTAATAAGAACAACTTTACTAGTGTCATTTAACATATATTCCAGGTGGCTGACCAATTTAGTATCTATTGCTCTATATACACACACAAGGTACCTGCAAAATGTAATATTACAGAGAAAGAGAATATTGACTGAGATCTCTTTCATAACCATTACATTAGCACTTTATTCTGTGGACTTCAATTCATTATTCTCCTCTGTCTGTGATTTGTCTTAACTCATGAGACAAGCCAGAATATGGCAAGCTAGCCTCCTCTAAAGGACACGTTTTAAAAGTTGAAGAGTCTCCATTATTGGTGGGCACACTTAACAGGTTAGATGCATCCTGCTGTTAGTTTGCTAAAGTTCTACCTCTGCTCCCCCTACCCACCCTCACCCATCTCTTCACACAAGGTAAGCCTGGCTATAATTATTTGTATTTTTTCTGTGCCAGCAAGTTTTCATTTACATGAACTTTGGACTGTTCTGCAATTCTATACGTTAACATTTATATACATAAGAAGAGTGGATATGTGGATTAAAATAATTACATATTATATTACAGAAGTAGGAATGGTTTTGAGAATATTTTACATTTTGGAAAAGTCAACAAAATTAGTAATGAAGAGGTTATGTTAAACTAAAATTTCAGACCTCACCTACAATTGAGACACTTTCCAAATGCCGTCTGCCTAGCCTAAGTCTTTGCGTTTACATTTTTTGAAATGTTTTCCTGAATAGTAATGGAAACATTGTGAAGTTAAAGGAGTAGAGTGATGATAGCTGGATCACTCTGAGACATAAAGATGTCGCCCACTCTAATTTACAACAGAGGCATAGTCTATTCCTGCATTACCCAATATGTGTCATTAAATAGCACTAGCCACATGTGCTGTTTAATTAAAATTAAATAAATTTCAAAAATAAATTCTCCCACCATACTAGCCCCAATTCAAGTATTATTAGTCACCTGTGGTTAGTGGCTATCATATTGGACTATACAGATATAGAATATTTCCATAATCACAGAAGATTCTTTAGATAGTGCTGTGCTATTCAGTTTATCCCAGTCTTAACAATAATGCAGACAGGTCCTGTTTTCCCATTTTCACCTATCTTAATGCCAAACAATCCCTTCTACCCCCCTTTTTTTTTTTTTAAATATATTTCACTTTTATGTTTCTGAACAAAAACACAGGACTCATCCACCTGGCTCTTTCTTGGATCATTTGGCATATCCTGAATTGAAGAGCTCATTTTCAGGACCACTGGACTTTAGAGATGCTAAATGAGCATGGCAAGAAGATAAGATAGCAATGCATTTAGGCTCTCCTTAGGGCATTTCCAAAAGTTTGAAATCTATTGTCTGAAACAATGACGAAATTAACTAAGGTGTTCCAGTTGTAAAATTTAGTAACAGCTCTTAAGTTTGCATTTTCTTTTTTATTAGGAATATGCTCACTCTTTCATTCATTCAGATATTTACTGAGAACTTACTTTGTGCTAGACAAATCTTAGGCACTGCGGGTTCAGCAAGAAACAGAAGCATACTCTGTTCACATCATAAATAAAATTGATATAGAATATTAGAAGATACGTTATAAGGAAAAATTAAGCAGGGTAAAGATGAAGAGTGCCGGGGAAGGGTTGGGGGGGTTGGTTGATATTTTAAGTAGGGTGGTCTAGGTAGGCTTCCTTGAGGGACATTTAAGCAAAAGCCTGCAGGCAGAGAGGGAGTGAGCTGAGGATCTCTGGACGCAGCATGCTTCCTACCGAAGGACTAGCCAACGCAAAGTCCCTAAGCAGGGAGTGTTTCTGGCACAGTGTAGGAAAGAAAAGAACCTGGTGAGACTTCAACAGAGCAAGAGAAAATTAAAGACAGCTGAATTAAAGATCATCTTCCCCTACTCTCTTTGATGTCCAGGCTTTAAGCAAACGCGTTTGCTCTAAGGGTAAGCAGCTAAGTTAGTTCATCAGCAGTCAGCCTCCTGGAGACTCAGGACAGAGGAAACCTAAAAAAATGTAGTCACACTGATTTTTTTTCCTTTGGAGTGTCAAAGAATCCTTAAGGGATACTCAAAATTTCATGCTGTTTTTTGATGGTAAGGGTTTTCAAGTGCTTCTAACAGGACGGAAAGCTTTTTGATTAAGAAAGGAAACTCACCCGGCTGCGGTGGCTCATGCCTGTAATCCCAGCACTTTGGGAGGCCGAGGTGGGTAGATCACCTGAGGTCAGGAGTTTGAGACCAGCCTGACCAACATGGTGAAACCCCGTCTCTACTGAAAATACAAAAATTCGCTGGATGTGGTGGTGCCCACCTGTAACCCCAGCTACTCAGGAGGCTGAGGCAGGAGAATTGCTTGAACCTGGGAGGCAAAGTTTGTAGTTTGCAGAGATTGTGCCACTGCACTCCAGCCTGGGCAACAGAGCGAGACTCTGTCTCAACAAAAGAAAAAGGAAGCTCATTCCTATTCTTCCTAGTTTCAATGCAATCTAGTTACTAATCTGCATTCAGTTTCTCTATTATGTTTGTTTTAGGAAAAAAATCCAGTGAAAAAAATGGGAAAATGGATCAGAATATAGTTTACCCTGTACTCAAACATCTTTAGGAAATGATCAATTTATAGAATATTAGAAGATACGTTATAAGGAAAAATTAAGCAGGGTAAAGATGAAGAGTGCCGGGGAAGGGTTGGGGGGGTTGGTTGATATTTTAA